GAATGCTTTTGGCAACTTAGCTTCAATGCTGAATTAGTAAAAAAATGACTTGGGGAATCATTAGCGAACTATACAGGGTGTTCCTCAATGATATGCTAATATTCAGGGAGCTGATTCTCCGACCCATTTCAAGAATAAAACTTCATATGAACATATGTCGTAAACATCCTTACTCTTGAGAGACAGGGTGTCAATGTTGAGAATATGCATAGATTATTTTTTTGTCCACCCTGTATAGCTTTTCGTGATGGCAAAATTGAGTCTATTATGTGACTGAATCGATATACAAATTTCAAAATGTTATACACGGTGGTTATCCAGTAATGGATCTCGTTTTTCTGTTTTTTTCTCGAAAACGAAGCGTTCTATCGAATATCAACATCTTTTTTGTACATAATTGAATAGCCTGTCATAGCATTGTATGAAATTTGAAAATCATTCGTCGCTGCTCACTTTTTAGTAGAATATAAACAATAATTTTTCCGTATCGGTACCACTGGTAGTGAAAATGAAAATTTTTGTACATCAGAAAATGCACCTTGATGCATGGAAGACGTGTACGAAATTTCATACAGATGTAAACAATATTGTCATAGTTATCATCAAAAAACTGAATATTTTCCAAAACTTCATCACCCTGTATCTCAAAAGTTAAGACCTTCAAGACATACGTTCATATGAAGTTTTCTTCTCCTTCTCTCTTTTCTTTTCTATTTTTTCATAATGAGCGAAACTTTACTTTTATAATATATTCATTGTAATGTTAAAATCAAATTGATATATGTTACTACCCACGCACAGGTATATCCTTCTGTGGGAATTCCATATTTATTTATCGTTACCTAAAATTATTGTAATTGTAATTTTCGATTCGAATGATGAATAAATATTATTATTATTATTATTCATTTAAGTTCATATAATTCCAGTCACGACCCTGCGGCCTCCGACGTCACGCAGTGTCGTGCTGGATAAAATCCAGTGACTACTCCTCACAGCCTGTGAGGTGAGTAATCACTGGGACCAAGTACCGTGTGCCCTGAGTAGACGCAATGATCCAAGTATGACGGCCTTCTGCATACCACCAGCCAGGATGTGTGCCTTATCACGGCACGCTGGGATTTTCTGGATCTCCGAGAGTAGCGTGTGTCGTGTGCCTCCTAGGGAGCCGATAATCAGGATGACCAATTCCACAGAATGGTCTGGATAGAGCCGGCGGAGTTCGAAGAGAAGATCTCGATATTTAGTCCGTTTCTCCTCCTCCTTCAGAACGATGTTCGGTTCGGCTGGCGCCGAAAACTCGATCACGAACATCGCTTTGGTTTGATGGTCGAGGAGGACTACATCAGGCTTGTTAGCTTGTATTTGCCTGAGGGTGGGGAATGAGAAGTTCCAAAAAATTCGGCACCTCTCATTCTCCACAACGGACTCAATATCCCCCGGAGCATAGGGCAGCACTGGAGTCTCGTCTATTCCGTACGAGTGCCTCAAGTGATAATAGAGCACTCGCAATGCCGCATTGTGTCTATGGATATAGGCCGAGACTGCATACACCGTGCAAGAAGACAGCAGGTGCATAATTGTCTCGGGCGCCCTGCGGCAGGCCCTGCAATTTGTGTCAGGGACCTCCATACCCATGACACGGCTACGGTAGACGAGAGTGTTGAAAACCCCATCCTGGCATGCCATGATGAACCCCTCTGTTTCCGATTCAAGCCCGCCTGACTTGAGAAAAGCGAAAGTCAGTTCTTTGGATAAGCCCCGGTCTTCAATGGTCTTGAAGTAGACCGAATGCATGGGCTCATCCATGTGAAGCTGCAGGAGCTTTTTCACTTCTGCAGCTTTGATGCGGGCTTTTCTCCGAGCGGGTTCTAGCTCAGTAACTGAGTCCTGAGCCTCGCGCTCGGAGTCGAAAATCAGAGACAATTCATCGGCTGCTCGACGTGCTGCCCTAAAAAGAAAAGCTCCTACTCCTGCATCTTCATGGGTTTTAACCATTTGCAGAAGGGGGTCCGAACTCCTGATGACTTTGCAGGCGCCATCCAGAACCATTCTGTTATGGAGATACTCCAAGCTCAAGAGTCCACGGCCACCCTGGTCTCTAGGTATGTATAACCGTGGAACGGACGAATTTGGATGCAGACTCCTATGGAGATGCATCATCTTGCGAGTACTCACGTCAAGTTGTCGCAGCTCGACTTGAGTCCACTTTATCACTCCAAATGAGTAAAGTAGGATCGGAACAGCAAGCATGTTAGTCGCAGCGACTTTGTTCTTCCCCGACAGTTCTGACGACCAGATCTGTCGGAGCCGCTGCCGATACTTGCTGCGGAGAGCGTCTTTTACCCGTTGTGCCTCCTGGATGTGAGTTTCCTCTACACCCAGGTAGGTGTACGTCTCTCCGGCATCCAGGTGGCGTAGGATGTTTCCGTCCACGAGCTGCGCGTCCTTGTCGTAGTTCTCGCATCGTCCTCTCTTGAGATGAACCAGTGCACATTTGTCCATCCAGAATTCCATTCCAATTGCCTGCGTGTACTCCTGCACCACCCTGAGGGATTGGTCCATATCCCTCTCACCAGAGGCATAAAGTTTGAGGTCATCCACATAGAATAAGTGGGTGACCTTATGCCTCCGGTAACTGGGTGGGCCAAAGTTGTATCCCCTGGTTTTCCTGAGCTCAACGGATAGTGGCAGAAGTGAGATGCAGAATAGGAGAGGGCTGAGGGAGTCCCCTTGAAATACTCCTCTCCTTATGATGACTGGCTCTGTTTGGACTCTCGCTTCACCTGATGTTATGGTAAAGCGGGTCTTCCAGACCAGCATCAGTTGTTCTATGCATCTCACTATAGAATCGGGTACCGAAAGACACTTGAGCAAGTACACGAGTAACTCATGTGACGTTGTGTCAAATGCCTTTCGGTAATCGATCCAGGCCACAGAAAGATTCCGCTTGTACTGCACGGAGTCCTGTGTGATAGCTCTATCTATCAACAGGTTCTCCTTGCAGCCAGCGACACCTCTCTTCGACCCACGCTGCTCAAAAATCCGCTGGTAAACCGGGTCAACTACTAGGAGTACTCGCATGTACAAGATGCGTGTGAACAACTTGTAACATGCATTCAGGCAGGTAATTGGCCTGTAATTCTTCGGATTGGACAAATCTCCAGTTTTAGGGAGAAGCACGGTTCGCCCCTCGATAAACCACTCAGGGATTTGCTGCTCCCCATTTAGCCAGCTATTGAATATACTGGCTAAATGGTGGTGGGTAGAGGGAAACTTTTTCCACCAGAAGTTATTGATCCCATCGGGACCAGGAGCAGCAAAGTTCTTGGAGCCTTTGAGGGCTTCTCGAACCTCCTCAGTGGTTATCGGTTGGCGCAGTAATTCGGGCTCGGGCTCTCGGTATCTTCCGCAGAAGGTACCGAACTGCGCCAGGGCTGGAGTATCTCTGTCGAATGGATGTCTCACCTCATAGATACTCTTCCAAAAGGTTTCCACCTGATCAGCAGTCGGCGGATTGTTCACCACACTTGGAGGCGGTTGAAATAAGCGAGAGGGCTTTTCACGGAATTGTTTATTTTCCGCCAGCCCTCTCGCTCGCCTCTTTAGTGACTGTTTTGCAGCCACTAACATCCGTATCCTTTCGAGGCAGTGCTGTTTGATGGTGGATAGTACTGCCTCATTGAGTGTGTGATGGGTGCGACGCAATGTATTGGCCATCCGTCGCACCTTCGACGTGAATGGCCTGTTGGCCCTCACATAATCCATCACACACTGGATACGGGAAGTGTGTTGTCTCGCCGACTGGATCTTGGCTTCCATCTTTTGTACACGCCGATCGGCCCTCTCAGTCGGTGAGACCGTTTGTATAGGTCTCTCCGGTAGAGAGGACCGAACGACGTCATACACGGCACAGTTGATGTGCCAGATGTCAGCCCCTTCCGGAAGTGTGCCTCGAAGTAATTCATCCATCCTTGCATGGTCTTGAGGCCGCAGGGCCTTAATGTTGAGTAGGCTCCTGCGGTTCCTGATCTCGTTCACCTCAGGAAGCACACGGTCCCTTCTCTCGTTGTCGGGCAGAATGGGTGGAGCTTGTTGTTCCTCCACACCATCTTCCTGCCGAGAAGGGACTCTCACGTATTGCCTAGCGCGTAGGTGAGATACATAATCTCGCAGATTTTGAGCAGTGAATGCTCCATGCTCTGGGTGTTGTTCAATCCACAGAGCATGCATCCGCCTCATGTATCCCCTACGCCCTGGATCGCTGCTCTCGAAGCACTGCAGAAGGTCGTCCCTCAGATCATCTGTCCACTCAAAGCGTCCATTTTCTTCGCGGTCGTTATCAGGCTGTCCGTCCTGTTGGGCCCCACCACCTTGCCTTTGACCCCTATCCGGCTGGGGTCGGTTGTGGGGGCCCTGTCCTCGGTTTATGGGAACCAGAGTAATCGGACCTGCCAGGTGGTTAACCTAGCAGGCCCACGGCTGACATAAAAGGAGAAATGAATTTCTCCTCCTGGGTGCGCTCTCGCTGCCAGTCCGATTTTGCACCCTCAGCTCGGAAAGGTGGTGTCGCTACTCACCATAGGCAACCCTCTAAGAGATTAGCCCTCCTGCCATTTTTATTATTATTATTATTATTATTATTATTATTATTATTATTATTATTATTATTATTATTATTAATATTATTATGTCAGAGAATCACCTCCTCAAATATTAGCATGTCTTCAAGGAACACCCTGTATATACCTATATTTACATACATATTTACGTACATACGAGAGATTCTCTTATCGATGAATTACCTTTCAAATTGTAATCAAATTTATTGTCATGTGGCAAGGTATTACAATAAAACTCTCATACAATCAGAAAGGTATTCATCAATGAAATCATCATTTTCATCATTTCCTAAACCCTGCATAAGCTTCGAGTTTGAATCAGTCATATATGGTCATATACAAATTCTGACGCAAAGCTTTTGGATCGATATGGATTACCTGCTTTAGAACTCATGAACAGCAATGTATTGCATCTCTTTCCCCATGTGGCTTTCACATGTTTGGCCTTTTTTTCGTGATTTTCGGGTCCAGTCATCACCCAGCACAAAACTCTGACTTTCTTGAAAAGATCATCTGCTACCAAAGAGTTTGTCATTTTATGGAAAGTGTCATTGTCATTATGTGTGCTGACATGTTCGTTTGGGCCAATGAAGTGTTTCAATCCGCCTTTGTTGTGAAATTCGAAGTTTTCGTGGTCATGGCCATGAGGTCCTGAAAAATATATTCGATTTAATTTTCGCTATCAATCTGGCATTCTCAATTATATCCACTCTAGTTAACCCAAACATTGAATTTGCCAAATATAATTATTTAAATATTGAGTCTTTAGATTATCAAAATCAATAGGTGGATTGGAAAAAAATTCAATAGGGAACATTGTGTTTACGATAGTGGATCCAGAACCATAGGTTGAAGGATTAAATCATTCGGAGCGAAATAGGTGAATAGAATTGAGGCAATTTTATGGGATGGATGGGTTCATTCAAACATAAATAAAGCGAGTTTATAACAACTGACACACATCCATATCCTCTAGACATGGCGTAATCTTGTTTTCCACTTCTATATTACGTGATCTATCACTTCCTCATTCTTGTGCTGGATGGAGTATCTGTTTTTTGCTTTTGTTCAAGAAGTATCTCGAGAAAACTCCAGATACTTCGAACAAAAGGTGTGCTACTTCTTCTATCGCTCTTTAAATTCCAGTTATTGTCTTATTAGGCATATGTTCTTGCCTAACAATGAATTAAATGGTGCGGTGTCTCTACATAATGGTAGTAGTATTGTGGGGAGGCTGTAGCAAGGCAAGTAGGCCCCCATGGGCCCTTTTTGCCACTCTCTCTCTCTCTACATAGTAAGTTCGTGATGGAAAATCTTCTCTCAAAAAACTCACTGGAGTTTTGAAACTTTTTACTTCACAAAATCAAACGAGTCATTTTCGTAAATTCATTCGCTGATTTGCGACCATATTATTGTTTGACAAAAACTTCAAAATGACGGCGGAAACGTCACCTTGCCTACTATCTTTCGTGCATTCCATTTTGGTTGATACTGCTTGGTTTCTTGATCATCATCGAAGATGGAGCCTTGAGGTGTTCGTTTTTATACCCTACTTGTTTTCAAACTGAATATGATCTTGTCATATTATTCTATTTTGTCGACCTCTACAAAAAATTACATTTTACGTTTTTATTTTCAAACGAAAAATCGGATTCTTCCAAAAGCAAGTAATATTCGTCAGTCACTAAGTTTCTGACCGCAAATACTTCTCATCTGCTGCGGGGTTGCCAGTTCTAATGAATTTTCAGTATTACTCCTGATTTGCATATTGATCTACTGATCTACTTAAACCTTTCATAATCTACTGAGAATGATGGCCACACTCATTCTTCATTATGATTACCTGAATTATCAATAATCTCTAGTTGATAACACACACCAATTGATTGCATGATATTACAGCACACTCTGTTCAAATTTGTTTGACAAAATAAGTAATAAATGTACATATAGGTACTCATGATATGTATAATCAAGAAAAGAACAGAACTCCATCTGATTCGAATCAAATTCAATTTTTTATATACTTCTGTTATGACAGTTTGTTCCTTACGTTTGATTGTTCTATTCGTTCTGTATATTTGTTGTTCGATTTCACTATTCGTTCCTGTTTTTCATATACCCGATTTCATAAGTACATATGTACCTGTATCATGTGATTTTTTGTGAATATTTTTGAACTGAGAATCAGGAATATGATTATTTTTGTTCGATTATATGTTTGTGTTGTTAGTTTTTATTTTGTTGATAATAGAATACTTTTTTGATCACTGGAAGTACATTATGTAACGACGTCTTAGGTTCATTTCATTATCCTTTCTTGGAATTCGTATAGCATAAAATGATTCTAAAACAAATCGGAGGAAATTGCCTGAATTTTTGACAAGGTACTATCTGATTATGGAATCGAAATCGAACTGACAACCATGTTCTGCGCGGAGAGTGGGTTGACGACAACTGTCAAGTGATGTTGTCAACTTGATTATTCACGAAAACCGATAGATTTCACGTGTGAATAGGACCGTTATATGAATATTAGTGTTTGAGGTCGACGAACAAATGTAATAAGCACCTCGGTGACAAACTGTCTTTTGTCTAGCCTGATTGCTAGCCTCGGCTGACATCACGACTATAAATTTGCAGACTCGCCTTTTATAGACAGTGTTCCGTCCTTGCTACATAAATAACTATTTCGTTGATAAGATACAGAGCGAGTATGAAAATTCATACTTCTGGACACTTTACATATCTACGAAGTGATAAGGAATAATGTTGCACTGAGAACTATGTCTATCATCAAATTTTGCTCAGACTCCATTAGTGAACTTGAAAATTCGTTTCGACTTCAGGTTCTGGAGATACGACCCGAAATCATTTCATTACTTCGTTGAATTCTTTTTTTTTTTCTTGAAAATTATATATAATACCCACTACATACATATGATCTCCAGAAATGCTGAAAACCACTTGATCATTGAATTATCATGGAATTTTGTTTAGTGAACTGTGAATTTTCCATATAATTAGAGCATGATATGGGGAATTCTCAGGTGTTATGTTTTCATGAAGAAATGGCGAGAAAAAAATTCTAACAATAATTCACCTACGCGATTAACAAAATGTTGGTACCTAATAACATTGAATGAATAATAATAATATGAATGATGATATAAAAATAATATAATAAATAATGTAAAAATAACGCATAGACACTTAACACTGTATCTGAAACATTCTTCAATCTTTTGGTATTGAGTAATGTTCATTGTAGAGTATTTTCTCTATTTTTGAGCAGTCGAGTGTCCTTGCCCATTACTTATCTCGATACTCTTTGATTGAATGATTCTGGATTGAACCAATAATTCTTCTGATTTTTGTCTCAATGACTCCTAACTCCAGAACATAATGTGGTGCTATTCATTTCCATCAGAGCAGTAACACCTGTATTGAACATGAACTAAGCGAGTATCTATATGGCACAAACGATCCCCCGACCGAATTTCTATAGTGAAATCCAAATATTTCACTAGAAGTGCTCATCTGGTGACTTGTAGAGCAATATCCTCACATATTTCGTGTTCTGTAAAGTAGAATATTCCGTTATTATTCTGAATTTGGTTCACAGATATATTTCTTGATACAATGCGGAACAGTTGATATGGCGCTCTTGAATGGGTCCAACCAAATATTCGTTTGATTTTTAAACAAAACTTTCTTGACTCTCTTCATGAAAAATCTCAATTCTGATGATTATCCCTTGATTATCACAGTACGTACGTGATCGCATAAGGAATTAATAAGTTTGAAACAAGGAAATTCTTCTATTGTCAAGTTAATCTCCCATCATAGTTGAACAATATTGTTATTGAGTCAAGAAATCTCGAGCATGTCACAAATAGATGATGACTCATTGAATTAATTGAATATCTCTCCGGAAGATCTTGATTTTTTTGTGCCTTAAGATTTTCATTTCGAAGAAAATGAAATACACTACTACTACTTTTTTCAATATATTTTTGTGATTTTCGATACCCGCGTCTCTTGCTCCTGATTGTCACCGAAAACCTGAAGAAGAAGGAGATATCATTTTTACAGATGTGTTCTTCAGAGTGGCTCGTTGGATTCTGTTTCAACACAGCCAGGCATTGGCGAGACCAAATGGAATTTCAAGACACTCATATATTTTCTTGTAACAAGAAATTCTACGTTTGACAAAAGAGCATGTGTGAATGTGGTTAGGTAGGTACATGAAACAACGAAGAAAGCAGACATTCATACATACTCTCACTGATATACACATTTTGAATAATTAGCCCAATCATGCTAATCGAGTAAAAAATATACAAAGAACGGCCAGCTGGTAGTAAAGATTAGAAATAATTTCAGGTATGATTGATATCAAAGGTCTTAGCAAGTTTTCGATGAAAAAAAAAAACGGAAAAAAAATCAGTACAAATATTATGGAAGAATAAACAAAGTTCATGGATTGTTTGGCTTGTTCGGAATCGATACCAAGGTATACCCATACTCATTCAACTTAACCTCGCAGCTTGTCCTCGAATGTGGAATGCCGCATTACTGTTGTAATGATACTACTTACATCATTAATATCAATGACGCAGCACACTCGATTCTTGATACCTTCACTATTGAAAAATGGAGGTTTATTTACACGGTTCATCGTCTTAATTTACACCTTTTTTTCATCGCTTGGAGCGCACGAAAGGAAATCTCTATAATGTTCAAAGAACATAGTGAGTTCCTAGGGTAATATCGGTACGGTGATTACCTATTAGGACTGACGTGTCGATTTACGAAGGCGTTCAGCTGTCTCCTACTGCTGTATACGTCACTGCAAAACAGTGCAGTTGCAGTTTTCTTGAATGAAATAAAATGAAATACTGTTCATAGTGAGCAACTTCATATCAAAAAATTTCAAAACACGAAGCAACCATGCCAATTGATTCGAGACAAGTGTTAATAGCATATCTGAAATGAGGAATTCTCGAATCAAGCAAATTGATTTCAAGAAAATTGATCTGTTTGATTGCAGAAATCCTTTTTATCTGTGTTCTTGATCGTTTATTCTTCATGTTATACACTCTGTACCTACTAATTTCCTGATATAAAATCTGCTCCAATGGAACCTTCAGTTCGAACTATCTTCTGAGAGTTCATATAGATTTGCCATCGGGACAATCCACCTATAGTATGTGCATTCAGTACCTAATTTGAGTTTATCGCTTTGTCAATGAGAAACATATTCTTCATCATACAGGTCGTAAAACCAGGTAACAGTTGTTTTCTGTTGTATATTTCGAATGATAATATACAGGGTGGACAGATAAAGATGATATCTTCAATCAAACATCCAAGAAATTTCTATTTGAACTGGGCAATTTACACTTGCCCCAAATCAATCGACATGTTTGCTTCGTTCGTTGGAATTTCTTGATTTGAAGTTGATCCACATAATCTTAAAATTTGTTGGTATCAAGTTAATCAACATGAACAGTATTTTTTTATAATCTTGGAAATCGCGACTAGGAGTGACATGAATATCAATTCATATTGGTTCAAGAATATTCCTGCTCGTCTCGGAGGTCTGCAGTGACGTAAACAGTGATAGGGGAAATCCGAACGCCTACGCC